GCGATGAATGAAGCTGAAGTACTAGACGCTGTAGAATCTACATTTGTTATTGTATTTCTGATGTTATCTATTTTATCAGTGAAGAAATTCATAAAGTCATTACTATTAAACTGTGAGGGAATATTTAGATCGGGTGGCGTCTGGTTATTTGTTAACCTAGCCACTGTGCTAAATAAAAACCTTTGTGTCCTCTTGTACCACACCTGTAACAAACAAACAAACATGTTGGTACCTCCAGCACCACAAACAGTACTCGCAAAAGCGGTTTATCTGCCAGGCTGCGCTCCTGCTTTCATAACATTGTCCTCGGATACGGTTGCCCGCATGTTTTCAATGTCTTCGTAACTTCGAAGCCTTGTTTTAAATTCCGCAAAAGTCAATTTATCATCTCTCTGGGTTACATGAATGGTAAATGGCTTAAATGTCTCTGGAAGTCCTTTCAGAACCATTGCTACTAAAAGTCCATCACTCAGATTCTCAGCTGCGTTCCTCAAAGCGGTGATTGCGGTCTCAGCCCTGATGACATAATCAGTAACACACTCACTGTGCGACTTTTGCAATGACGTTAGCTCTGTGTATAAGCTAATTACTCTAGGCTTCCCTTTGCCAGCATAATATTCCCGAAGAATCTTTAATGCCGCTCTTCCATCGTCTGCTGCTTCCCTCATAACCAGCGACAAACTTTTGTCATCCAGGAACTGTATCAGCTCTGCATAGGCTTCGGCGTTTTTCGCCGTATCTTCCTCGTCTTCCTCAAAAGACTCGCTTAAAATAGTCTCTTTCAGTCCTTGCAAATAAAGATGGCCCAAAAACTTTGTCTCCCATAGCTCGTAGTTTTTCTCGTCTCCGTCAAAGACTAGTCGAGACCAGCGGCTTGTCACGGTTTCTTTTTCTCTTCTTCTCATGTTGAAAGACTCGGGTACACGCTATATCTTAACACTCTTAACGTTTTCTACTCTGCTCTGGGCCCATAACCTGTTAACAGAGTACGCTAAATAACAGACGAGAGGATACGTCTTTACCAACCACTCAGTTGCTCTGACTGGCGCATTTTTATTAAAACAGAAAAACACGTGCATTCCTTCAGTCACTGATTAGGTCACATGACATCTAGTGACATGACACATTAGACATCTGGATTGCCTGTCCCAAATAGAAAACAAAAATACAAATACAAATGAGAGCATACTATTTCTACATGTCAACACACACACACACACATGCACATGCACACACTGAGACACACACACACACACACACGCACATGCAAAATACAAAATAAACTTACTTTTCTGCATGAACGCATACGACTTTAAAGTTCGGATGCTCACTGTGACCCAGCGCGTGTGGTGTATAAAGCGCAGTGTCTTAAAGGGAAGGTGTACAGGTATCAGTAAGATGAAAGATATGCGCCCTCTAGTGGTAAAATATTAAAGTGAAACTAAAGGAAAAGACTTTCCTACACAATGGATTTAAAAAAATAAAGTTTACTAACGAGCTGCAGTTTTATTACATCACGCGCTGGCACAGATGCAGTATATTAACGCCACGGGTCATCAATAATTTGCAGATTGGTCCTCAATTTGTGTTTCCAACACACTTTCACAGCACGCATCGCGCGCTCAAACTCATCAAAAGTCAACAAGTTCAACAAGCAACAACGACTTATCCAAGTGACTGCTGCAGAACGCACGCGAGAGAGAGAGAGGCTGTCTCATAAGTGAGTGAGCGGGGAATCTACTGAACGTGGCACTTGCTAGAGTTAACACTGTACGCAATACCCGCAACCTCACACCAAATTTCAGGCCGTGTAGATAGACAAGCATATATATACAAATCATTTAGTAAGCAGAAATCCCAAATCTACCTGAACATATTAAGTTAGAGGAAGATGTGACAGAATAGATGCTTGAAGCACTTCCAGCAGTCATGATAAACAGCTGGCGGTTAAAGCTTTCTATGCACAATTTGATTTGATGAAAGTCACGAGACCCATTACTCTCTATCCAATCACGTTGATGGATAAAAATACAATTAAAATAAGCATGTAACGACCACAAACGGAGGAAAACAGCGGAGTAAAAGTACCGATACATCACTTAAAATGTACTCAAATAAAAGTCAAAGTACACAATTTTTAAACTACTCAAAAAAGTACAATTACTGATAAAAACTACTTAATTACTGTAACATGAGTGTTTGTAATTCGTTACTTCACACCGCTGGTGGATTCCAACTTAAACACTTCAGGTCATTGCGTTCAAGAAATTAACAGGTATGTCTGTGATTAGCTACATTGTTCAATGCTGCAAATATGTTTCTGCAATATCAGATGGGGCCCCCTAATTCCCCGGGGCCCTAAGCAGCCACACCTCGCTTATTGGTTAAGTCCATCCCTGGATGACAGGTATGTAGCAGACCAATCACAGCGCTTGCGGTCCGTGCAGAATTGACGTGCTGTTAGATTTTTGGAGAGGTGCACGTAGGCTACGACGTAGGGTGTGCGTCTATGCGTAGGCTACGCCGTAGGTTCGACGCAGAAGTATAAATTGGGCTTGAGCCTTATTATAACGCATTGGTGGGCGGAGCTAATGTAAATAGCCTCTGCCAACAAGGTGGGCCCTTTGCACTTAGTGTAAATAGACAGTTCGGTAATGGCAGCTCCTCTATGAATCAATAGAGTATTATAGATGATAAAATGCAGTATCCGTCTTTGATACAGGGTTCACTTTTCCAGACTCAAATTTCCAGACTTCACTGTAGACCATTCAGACCACATTTCATAGTGAAAAACAAACGATTTAAGGGAATAATTTGAATAATCTAGTAGTTAACATCTACATAAAACAATGTTTTGAAAGGTGACCTTAGAAAAAAGAAAGAAAACCATTATTTAATGAAACACACAGCTGTCAAAGACACCTATTAAATAAATAAGGATAACAAAGGAGAAGTACAAAAAATCTCGAAACATGAAACATCTATATATCTAATAATATCTAATAATCTAGTAATATCTAATAATCTAATCTAATCTAATAATATCTCACAATCAGTGCCGCATTAAAGGGGTCATATGATGATTTCAGTTGTTCTTTCTCTCTGAAGTGTTACAAGCTCTTGATACATAAATAAGATCTGTAAAGTTGCAAAGACTAAAGTCTCAAATCCAAAGAGATATTCTTTATAAAAGTTAAGAGTCAGCCACGCCTACCTAAAACGGCTCGTTCTAACACGCCCCCACATGTCTACATCACTATGTGGGAAGATTTGCATAACGCCGCCCAAATGTGCACGCAAAGAAAGAAGACGTAACTTTTATTCTCGCTGTAGTATTGTTGTTGCCGCTGCCACCATGTCGTGAAGGCGCTGTGTTTCGTTGTGAAAGCGAAACTACTTTGTTGTTATTTTTAGCAGCATCATATGACCCCTTTAAGTGTTTGGGGGGCCCTTGGCTAGCCCCCCCCCCCCCCTTTCCATTAGACTCCAATCAAAATAAAAAATGCGATCAAACACTGTATACAGATGCACACTATTATATACTCATGAAATAAAAACTAAATGCGCATGTCATAATCCCATAGGAGGCAAACAATTATGTACGTAAATTAAACAATATTATCGAGTAGACTAATAATCTTACAAATCAGCAACAGCCCAGCAAATAAAACTAAACATCACTCACCACTAAAAGCTCTTCTTCCTGCTCTTCTTTTAATGCGCTAGAAGTTATAGACATTTTAAAAATGTATACTTTTGTTTCTCTATTTAACAACATTAACTTACAATTAAGCGCCGATAAACACAACAGCAGCTGACCATAGTGCTGTACAAATAAAATAAAAACCAGTAAAAAGATTAACATCAGTAAACTCAAAAGATAATTTAACATACAAAAATTAAAAAGCCAATAAGAAAATAAGATTTAAATTTAGTTTTAAACTCAGATAAAGGAAGGTTATTCCATAGCCTCGGTTCAATTATTGCAAATAGTAAAAGGTAGATAGTATGTTTTCTAGCTGGATGTTGTGCTTGCGATCAATAATAGTCTTTGATTTCAACCAAACTGATTTGCAGAAATAAAAACTCGCTGTTAAACGGGAGCGACTAGTGCTGCAGAGGGTTCCGCTTGGTCTTAAAGACTTGCTTCAGCAATTCAAACAATGCTTTGGAAAAATAATAACTTATTTGTTATTTGTATGGTCTAGGTGGTCTATTGTTATATACCTGTACATACAATTGTCGATTTGTATATTTGTTATTCCTTATTTGACTTATTTGTGTTCTTTTGTTCTGTCACTGTCATTCTGTTGTATGTGTAAACAGACCTGGCAATAAAGCTCACTCTGAATCTGAATCTGAATCTGATAGGGCGTATGCCTGCAAATACGGGACAAATTGATGCTTTAAATGCAGCAGCCCCTCACTGCAGAACACAAGGCGATTGCGTGATATACGGAACGGTTGGCAACCCTATACAAATGCAAAAGAGGATTGACTCGGGGGCCCCTCGGGGCCCCGGGCTGCAGCCCATGTTCACAATGCTCAAGGAAAAGTGCTCTGAAAGCGCCTTCTCTCTGGTGTTCCTGAAATGATCGTAATCATAGAAATATAGGCGCACAAACTCTTTTTGAATCTGTATTGAGCGTGTGTTTCAGACAGCGGAACACCTGTAGTTTGGTGATGCTCTGTTCTAGAGACATTGATCACATGAGCACGTGTTCATTGCACTGCCTGTCTTTCAGTAAGAAGACCTGATCAGCTGACTCGACGCACCCGGATGAACATTAAATCGAAAGTAAAGAATACAAGTGAAAGTAAAATTGATCTGCGGACATTTCACGACCGCGAGCTTCTGTCAGCGAAACATCTATATTTGTGCTGATCTACAGCTAAAGGACAGGATCGATTCGGTTTAGTTTAGCGTCTGAAGATGCGCCGAACGAGCTGTGTTTTGATGTCAGTGCTGCTGATGATCGCCGATGGTATGTAGGCTATTATTATATGATTATATTATCTCTCTCTCTCTCTCTCTCTCTCTCTCTGTGTGTGTGTTCAACAAAACTATTCTCAATGGTCAATTCTTTCTTTATTTTCATTTCTGAACTATATTTTGGCTTCGAGGCCCCTGGATCCTGGCGGCCCTTCGTCGTGCTGCATCATAGGGCGTTGTAAGGTCTAGTATGAGACGATAAAATGGACACTTACAGTCGCTGACAAATGCCTGCAAAAATACATGAACATATTCGGATCAGTCCAGAGCCTCTATAGCCGACAGATTAAGAAAAATATGTCTTCATAATGCAATATATCTGAAAAGAGTGAAAAATTAAAGATTGTAAAGTGAATAGTCTTCCGTATGTTTACTGAAGTGTATCATTGGTTTGGTAACTTTCATGTCAGCTGTTGTCATGTTGAGGTGTGCCAGACTGTGTCCTACACTGACATATATATTTTTAATCAGGTCATATTTCCTGGTTACCTGATTTGACCCAGTGTTTACAACCTGTTTTTCTAAAACAATGAAAGTGAAATATTTTATTGTTAATTATTCATAAACACTGTTTGCTTGTGAAGTGCAAAAGCAAAAACAGAACTTAATTTGAGACAGATAATCACAGGGATTTGTAAATTTGAAGACACCCCCATGGAGCATTTGAGTTAAAACCATTCAGGACTGAATCCAGTTTTATATACATTTTACATTTAAAAGATCAAATGATCAATGATAAAACAGATAAACATGTTTACTTACACACACGCGCACACACACGCGCGCACACACACACACACACACACACACACACACACAGAGACACACTCACACACACACACACACACACACACACACACA